TGGGTCAGAACCGACTCAACAGCACTTGAAAACAACAACAACAACAATCCTGGTGGACTCCTGTGGTAGCCCTATAGGATAAGCACTGGACTGCAAGGTTGGTTTGAACCACATGGTCTCTGGTTGATACCACCTGCTGTTCCTAGGAAACTCTATACAGGGTCACAATGAGTCAGAACTGACTTGATGACACTTAACAATAAGTCTTGGTGTAGCGCCCTAAGAAAAGTACTGGATTGCTAACCACAAGGTCAGTGGTTCAACCCAGCAGCCACTCCTTGGAAACTCTATAAAGGGTTGCTATGAGTCAGAACAGACAGGTTTCAGAGGAGCTTCCAGATGAAGACAGACTAGAAAGGAGTGACAAACTACTTCCGAATAATCAGTCACTGAAAACCTTATGAATAGCCAGGAAACACTGTTAGATACAGTGCTGGAAAATGAACCCCTCAAGTTGGAAGGCACACTAAATGCAACTGGGGAAGAGCTGCCTCCTCAAAGTAGAGTTGACTGTGATGACGTGAATGGAGTAAAGCCCGTGGGAGAAAAGCCCGCGGGACCTTCATATGCTGATAGGGCACAACTCAAAATGAACAGAAACAGCTGCAAACATCCATTAATAATAGGAACATGAAATGCACTAAGTACAAATCTAGGAAAATTGAAAATTGTCAAAAAATGATATGGAACGCATAAACATCGATATCTTAGGCATTATTAAGCTGAAATGGACTGGTATTGGCCATTTTGAATCTGACAATCACATGGTTTACTATGCCAGGAATGACAAATTAAAGAGGAATGGTGTTGCATTCATTGTCAAAAAGAACTTATCCAGATCAGTCATGAGGTACTACACTGTCTGTGATAAGATAATATCCATGTACCTACAGGGAAGCCCAGTTAATACCACCATTATTCAAATTTTGTGCACCAACAACTAAAGCTGGTGAGGATGAAATAGAAGAATTCTACCAACTTCTTCAATCTGAAATTGATCAAACATGTAATCAAGATGGCTGGTGATAGGAATGCAAAGGTTGGGAACAAAGAGGAAGGATCAGTCGTTGTAAAATATGGCCTTGGCACTAGAAATGATGCTGGATATCACATGATAGAATTCTGCAAAGCCAATGATTTGTTCATTTCAAATATCTTCTTTAGACAGTATAAGAGACGATATGTACACATGGCCCTCACCAGATGGAATACACAGAAATCAAATTAACTGCATCTGTGGAAACAGTTGATGGAAAAGCTCTGTATCATCAGTCGAAACAATGCCAGGAGCAGATTGTGGAACAGA